TTTAGCTTTGTTGTGCTTTTTCTATTTCCCTCACTATGACTTTCTCATGTTGTCCTTTACATACAGAATCATCCTCTTTTGTATGTTTTAAGTCAGACTTCCTATTCCTATTCAAAACTCAAAACTGCACAAAAATACACTGGTATTTCTTCAGGAAGTCTATCCTGAATATCTTAGATATGCTAAAGATAAGGATAAACTAAATAATAGTTCCTAAACTTGAACCATACAAGACATGTTTCACTCAAGGATTCATCATTTGGGAAATGTTTCATTTATTTGTCACTCATTCACTCACTCATTTAAGAAATATTTATTGACTTTACTCCAATAACTAGGGAAAAAAATTTTAGCAATATAGTTAAAACCATAGGCTTGGGTTTGAATCCTAACTCTGCCATTCACTAAATACATGACTGATTCTGGCAAGTTATTTAGCCTTCTATGTCGCAGTTTCCTCATCTGTAAAATAGGCATAATAGTAGTCCCAAAAGGGGGGTATTAAGATTAGCATGCATGGGGGGGGAGGGGAGAAAGGGGAGGGCTGTACAACACAGAGAAGACAAGTAGTGATTCTATAACATTTTGCTACGCTGATGGACAGTGACTGTAAAGGGGTATATAGGGGGGGACCTGGTATAGGGGAGAGCCTAGTAAACAAAATATTCGTCATATAAGTGTAGATAAATGATAAAAAAAAAAAAGCAGTTCCTGTGTGGTGACCTCCAATGAGTTCTTCACAATGATATAAAGAGCATATAAAAGTGTAGGCAAAGGGTCTGTTTGTATTTATACAGAGGATCAAAGCCTAATTTGGCTACCCCGAAAATGAACTAAGATACGATATGAAAAAGAACTTCCAACATCAGCACTCTCGGGAAGACTCATGCCAGAAGATGACCATCAAAAAACCCCAACAAAGATCCATGCACTGCTACAGGTGTAGATGCACTCATCCCACCAGTTCCTGGACTTGCAATGGGAATGAAGAAGGAGATATACAGCAAAACAACAAATTTGACTGGATCTAAACTGTTGGAACTCAACCAAGAATTAGGAGAAGTGCAAATTGTAGCGCTCCAAAATCTTACAACTACAGACTATCTACTGTTAAAAGGACATATGGGATGTGAACAGTCCCCAGGAGTGGGTTGTTTTCATTTGTCTGATTTCTCTCAGACTGTTCAAGTTCAGTTGGACAATATTCACAAATGCCTAAGGTGCCTAACTGGTTTTCTTGGTTTCACTGGAGATGGCTGGTAATTACAGGTATGCTTTGGTTACATAACTGTACTCCTATTATGTTAATGTGTGTGTGCAATTTAATTAGTAGTTTAAAATCTATACATGCTGAAGTTACTCTACAAGAAGGATGTCAAAGAAATAATCTTCCCAGGTTTTTTTCCACCTGCTACTTCTATAGCTTTTCTTCTTCCTTCCTAATTATAACCCTTAAGTAGAATTCGTGCCTTATATCGAATTTACCGAGTATCATAATTCTTCCAAGTGGTAAAGACACCTCAAGACAAATGCTGGGCATAGAAGCCACAGGGCATAAAATATGCAAAGAAGTAAAAAGCTAACCTTTTCAAACAATAAGGCTTCTCTCTCACTTACCAACTTAACATTTTCCTGTATGGCCCCGGAAGATGACTGGTTAGCCAGAGACGGGTAAGATTCCTCAAGGGAGGAACAACCTAAGACAGGCACAGTCACAGGGGGGCCATCAGGTGAGAAAATGGGGATCAACAGAGGTGAGGCTTACAACCTCCCCCCTGCTGGTTCTGAGAGAAATCTTCTGCATCCGTGGATGTTTTATTGCCCTTGTCTAGCTTGGATTAACACATAGTCTACAGGCACACACCTGATCATCTACATTTGCTCTCTTACAACACTAAACTATGTTTTCTACCTTTATCTTGCATCTACCTACCACTTCAGCATTTTATTAAAAATAATAATAATAAAGAGAGAAATGTGGTATCCACATATAAATCAAGTATAAAAATCAAATGAATATTCATATTTGAACTGATTGTTTATAGTTCATAATGCATGATCAAAACCAAAAGCCTCTGTGATGACTGCCCTTGTAATGTTCACCATGTAACTTATTCACTATGTAAGAATTTGTTCTCCATGTAAGAACTTGTTCGTTATGCTTCAGAAGATTGGAGACTGATGAAAATTAGACTTGGGGTGGATTAATGATTGTGCATTGAGCATTGACCCCCCTATACAGAATTTTATTGTGGTTAACAACCATTTGATCAATAAATATGAGAGATGCCCTCACAAAAAAAAAAAAAAGTACACACTTCCAATTGTAAAATAAATAAGTAACTGGGATGTAATGTATAGCATAAGGAATATAGTCAAAATATTGTAACAACTTGGTATGGTGATAGCTGGTACCTAGAATTTCATGTATATAAATGTTTAATCACTGTGTTGTACACCTGAAACTAATGTAATACTGTGTGTCAATAGTAGTCCCCAAGGCTTGTTGGGAGGATTAAATGAGGTAATCTGTTGAAATGCTTTAGCCCAGTGACGGGCCCTTGTCAGCTATTTTTAATGATCAAGAAATAACATTAAATTGGTCTGCATGAAATGAACATAATATTGTTTTAATTTTTATGCTCAGGATTAAATATAACTTTGAGAGTAAGGGAAACCAACTGGGCCCCACAAACTTATCTAAGTCTCAGGCATAACTAAATGGGAAATGTGCCCATACTTCTGGTGTAACAGAAACACGTCTTTCTAAGAAGCAGGCCCTGTTCTGATAGGCAGACTCCCATGCCTAGGAACTGCAGTCACGATGGGTAAGAGAGATCTACAATACTTAAGAGGGTCCCCCCATCTCCAGAAGGCTCTCGTGTATGCGGAGCTTGCTTTCAACAGTGATGTGTTAAGATCCAACTCATCACCTCAGGTATGCACTGGAAATTCAAGGGGCCTACTAGGATCTAAAGCTTTTGTTATTCTGGCTATCATTTCTCCTCACAGTATCCCAGTAGAAAATGCTCATCTGTTGCAATGTCCTGCTTGGGACAGTGAAAAAAGAGTGAGAGTGAAGAACCGGAGAGACCTTTACTCTTTTTTTTTATCCACAAGACCTCTGCCTAGATACATCTGTGTGCTGATTTGGATTTTTGATAAGCTCTTTTCCCCCTACAAGTTCTAGGCTAATTCAGAGTATCCATTTGTACCAGTATGAACTGATTTTTAAAAATCAATTTTTCATACAATTAAAATCTTCTGTACAAAGCAAGCTGTAACAATGATCAAATACACTAAAAAAAGGAAATATCAGTAAAGCATGGACTTTAGTTAATTCATTGCTGTTCATTAGTTGTGACTGCCACACTAACGTAAGATGTTAACAATAAGGGAAACTGGATAGGGAATTCTCTGTACTATTTTTACACCTTTTCAATAAACCTAAAAGTATTCTAAAATTAAAATTCGTTTAAAGAAACAGCAGAAACACATTGGTGTAGCCCTAGTCTCAAATTTTGTTCTTTTTGTGTAATAGTTGCCTAAAGAAAATCTGTTTTGCAAATTGAGAATCAAAGTTTTGCCTTCATTTTTACAAATCTACTGTTTTGTCAGAGTCAACTGAATGTTGAGAATGGAAGTGAGCCAACCATCTGCAACCCCAGTCAGTTCAAGTTCAAAGAAAAATAAACTTAAAGGCAATAATTAAATAGATGCAAAAGTACATACTAGTTCTTCACTGGATTCTGCCCCACCTCTTCCTCCCTTCCCCTGGCGAAAAAGAAAAACTGTATGAATGTGTGTCATTAGTAATGTTTCTGACAAATTATTATACATAAACAGAATAGAATATCATGTGCCCTTCTGAAATAAAAGGATGACTGTAGGAATATCAAGAATTGTTAATTATGTAGTGATTGATGGAAATAGCAAAATATAGGAGAGTTAATATTTAATAAAAGTAAAAATGTAAGGAAAAGTGTGAGCACATTGTGTATAGTATGTATCTGGGAAGAGTAAGATATGTTGCTTTTATGTTCATTGAACTATCAAAATTGTCTTTAATAAAAACAAATGATGTTACTGTGAAACAGTATTTTTTGCATTAAAACTCTTAGCAAATTTGTTCAGTTAAAAAAGAGACAAATGTCAAGTCTTTTCCATACTTTCTAAATCCCAATGTGTTGACCTAACATCCCTGACTCTTGGGCTGGCAGCCTGTTATCCCCTTTTCAAGGCTCCTGTTCATCCAGCAGAGAGGACCTGGGAGAGGGTCTGGGGGAGACAGCGAGGAGGTGGTCTGCGCCTCCAGGTGCATCTCCAGTGTCATTCAATTCCAGACTCACTTTTGCTTTCCACTCCATTTACTTTGCTCTTTATTAGTTTTGGAAACACTGTCTTCTACTATATTAAGTGGCCTCAAGTGGAGGGAGAGGCCTCCCACACTACTCCATGCTATTCTTTCCTTTATAATTCTGTGCAAGTCAAAATTTAGTCACTGGCATTATTGTGCAGAAACTTTTTTTTCTTTTTGGTCTTTTTTCCTCTTGCTTTATTGCAAGACTGCATAGTGCTGTTAGAAAAACCACAGAAGAGTGCAGATGATGCCCCTGTATTTCTGGGTCCTATCACCTCACCTGGGATTCTTCTCAGAGATTCTTCCACATGTCTCAGTAACTTTCTCCCTAATTCTTTGCAAGAGCTTTTCCAACCACCTATTACTCCTTTAGCATTCCTGACGTCTCTCTACCACCCTCCTTCCCATCAGAGAACTTTGCATCCAGTCACACACATACACACGTTGGAACCACCAAACTGAAATTCCTAGTTAGAGGAGGTGTACAGAGTTTGTCACTTGAGGAAATGTCTACCTCAACACAAATATAAGACAGTTTTCCTTAGACTGAGGTTATCTGGGTTGTGTCAGTGGTGGCAGTCACTGTTTCAGAATCACAGGGCGAGGGTCTCTGGTTTACTCCCTGCCCTTAGAACACCCACCTGTAGGAAGGGCTCCTGTATCTTAGACTAGGTCCCCTGCACCAGATGCAAATATTAGATGGGGAGAACTAGCCCTGTAAGGAAAAAAAAACAATTTATTGAATTTAGGATGTCCTTTTAGGTCATATTCATTAGCTCCAATTCCCTAGTACCCCATCTCTGTGCCAATCAAAAGGCACCCATCTCTTGCCAATTTTGTTATTTTCTTTCTTCCAGCACACTGGATCAGCTAATATGGAAAGCTCTTCCATCTGTGAGCTCCCAACAGTTTTACCATCAGATGTGTCTCTAGGGCCAGGCAGCTGTAGAAGTCTCCTTAACAGCTCACAATATTGACTGGACTTGGCAGCAACTTACTGTGGAAGTACTAAACCAAAAGTGCGAGTTGGTGTTTAAACTGAAAATCTAGACATGCACTTTGCTGACCCTCTTCCCAGGAGAAAGCAGCTGTGGTCGAGGGCCCCAGTGCAGGGCTGCAGAGCTGAGCCCAGACATTCACCCCCCGACAGCGAAGCAATGCTGGCAGTGGCTCGGGAGTGAGGGAATGTTCTGGCCGACGAGTACCAGACAAACAAAAGTCTGGTATTTGTTGAGTTCTTTGGGGTTAACTAATACATTTATTCTTTTGCTGCTGAAAAAAGGGGGCTTATTGTGCTCAAAATCCCAGAATTGTCCAAAAGATCTGAAGCACTGTCCCGTGGTTACTCGCCTGGGCTTCTGTGGTATCTCCTGCCCAGTGTTCCTGCTTCTTCCCTTGCACCCACTCTACCCAGTGGTATTTTAAAGAGGCAGATCTATTCATACCATTCAGCTGCTCAAAAATTTTAATGGCTCCCATCATGCTTAAAATAAAATCCCCGTTCTTAATCCTGGTTTATAAGGAGCTACAAATCTGTCCCAGCTCATTTCCTATGACTCCTCCTCACCCACTGTGTGCCAGGTACCCTGTTCTTCCCTCCCTGAGCATGCTGGATTAATTCCTGGCTTACAACCTTTACATTTGCTGTTCTCTCTGCCTGGAATGCAGGGAAGAATTTTTCTCAATTTAACTTTCTTAATGTAATTACACTAATTGGTACAAGTAAACAGAATTAGAGCAAGTATATGCTTATTTAGCTATTTTTCTGGCAGATACCAGCACAAATAGAACTTTCAGTCTCCTCACCATTCTAGGAACATATTGATTATATAACCCATGGTTGTCATTTTCTTTCATATTAGAAATTATGCCATTCATTTCTCTAAGGAACAATAGCACCCATATTCTAGAAATCTAATTCCTAGCTAAAGATTTTAGTAGGTCAAATTCCATCTACTTCTTTGCATCTCATAATATTATTTAAGGCCCAAACAACATGCTCCTGGCTTTTAAGAGAAAGGCTAAGCTGCTATAAGAACCCCAAATACACAATGGCTTAAGTGAGATAAATGTTTATTTCTCTGTCATGTAATAGTTCAGGGTAGCCTAGTGGGCCAAGTCTGCTCTATGAGGACATTCAGCAACTCGTATTCCTTCCAAACTGAAGCTATGCTTATCCCTGGGGCTCATTCCTCCTATGCATAGTCAGGCTATCACATACCCATATCTAAGGTCTAGGACCTTAGCCATATTCAAGCTTCTAGCCATAAGTAAGGTCACAGAGAGGAGACAGAGGGCAAGTAACTTCCTTTTAAGCAAGTGAGGCACAAGTTACACTCATCACTTCCGGTCATTTTCCATGGTGGTAGTAAGTCCTATGGCCATACCTAGCTGCAAGGGGGCTGGGAAATATGGTCTTTAGCTGATCACCTAAGTCCAAGCAAGAATGGAAGAGGAGTCACTAGCCATCTGCCATATTCACGTAATAAGTGCTACACTTGATGAGTAAATAAACAATGAATTGGCATACAGGATAACAATCCTCTCTCCCATCCAACACTGATATAACAGAGAGATGCAAAAAAGGAAAAACACAGACAAAAATGTCATCTCTACTACTTTAAGAGGCCAGGTTGAAGGTTATGGCTTTATGTTTGTTAACCACAGGAGCCTTTATACTGCTGAATCTCAGAATGAGGCAGACATAATCAAATTCAAGGCTGCATGAGACCAAGGCAAGTCTTCCTTTGTGACAGGAAAGAAAGTGTCCTGGAGGAGCAGGAGAACATACGCTCTCTGCAGGCATATTGCTCCCAAAAGGAGGGACAGCTGGAGTTCACCCAAGGATTCTAATGCTCAATAATTCTAATCAAATTTACTAAATATATCACTACCTCCTCCTCTCAGAGGTGGTCTGAGTGAAGGAGCAGACACAGCCTGGCACACACTCCTTCCTAAGAGTTAGAATGAGGAGATCACACATCTGGGTATCGATGCATTTCTAAAATCCCGGATGCTCCACCACCCATCTTCAACCCCCTTCACTTTAAAGCTAATCCCTCCACAATTCCTCCATGTTGAATCTCTGCTCATGCTAATTACTATGGCATCAATTTTGCCCTCTTGCTTACCATTAACATTTTTTTTCCTCCACTGATTTCTGCTCCACAAGTAAATGTAACCATTATCTTTCCCATCCTAAAGAAAAACTTTCTTTGGCCCTGACCACTCTTGTAGCTATAGTATAATCTCTGCTCTTACTTTCATAAGCAAGCCTCTTGAAAGAAGAATCTGAGTTTACTTCTTCATTTACTATTCATTCCTCAACCCAATGAAATCCAGTTGCTGCCACCACCACTAACTGATATTGCTCTTACTAATTTCCAATAAAATGGATGTCAGTCTTTATCTCATTTGATCCCTCACAATGATTAATACTTGTGACCACTCTATACTTTTTGGAAGTCTTTCCTCTCTGAGGTTCCATAAAAATCCTCTGTTTCTTTTTATTTCCTTCAAAAGTGTTTTCATTCATTCTACTCTACAAATATTGGTATTCCGCTGAAATTCATCCTCGATTCTCTTTCCTCAATATACATGCTCTCCTTGGCTAAACATCTTAATCAAAATCACCAATATACTTAATTACCAATACACAATGATTTCCAAATTACAACTCTAACCTAGATCTTTTTCCTGGGCATCATACCTGTGAATCCCACTACCTACTAAACATCTCCTGCTGCGTGCCTGTCAAAGCCAGCATGTCTAAACTGAAATTTATCAACTCCCCCCACAAACCTTGATGTTAACATCCCCAGTCACCCTGGTCAAGAACCTGGGAATCATCTCCCGTGTTTTCCATTTCTTCAAAGGTCTCATTCAATTCTATATAAAAATTACACTCAAATAAATCCCTTCTTCATCTCTGCCATCAATACCTTATGGGTCCAGATGCATATATATTTACCTGGGCTACTGCTTTGGCCTCTAATATTTCTACTCTGACAAGGATGAGGATCTTTCATACGACTGTCAGAGGGACTGCTCTAAATTATGATGTAAATCCTAAATATTAATAGAAAATTATGGAGCAACTTCTCTTTGTTTCTGGTAACACTAGCGGCATCTCTGTAGCAAAATCCCAATGTTTTGAGAATTTTCCCTCTGCTCCTGTGTTGCTGGGCCCTCCTGGAGAAAAACCATGCAATGCATGGATTGACTTCCTTACAAGAAAGTCTAAACTCCTTTACATGACATAGAAGGTTCTTTGCGATTTTGCTCCTGCCTCTGTCTCTGGCTATACCTGGGTATTCCTACCTTTAACCTAATGTTAGGCAGAAAGACAGAAATGAGTGGGATGGAAAGGAGACAGGGCCCCCCAAAGATGACTCAGTGAGTTGATCAAATAGAACCAGAAAGCCAGAAATGGCTCAGAGAGTTAATCAGATGAAGCCACAGGGTCCAAAGAGTGACTCAGGAAATGTCCAGGGTACCCCCAAATAAGAAACATCAGAGGCACAGGCACAGCACAGCCCCTGTCCCCATTTCACCAATCAGAACAAACCTAGAGAGCTGATAGCTGTCAATCAAGGACCTCTCTGCTCTGCCAAAAACCACATAAAAGAAGCCTCAGAATGAGCATCCATGCCTGCCTGTCTTATGTTAGGCAGACCCGCTCTGCTGCTCTATACAGTGTATTAAAACTTACTTTGCTTTCTTGACTTTGGTCTCTCGTCTCACTGTATCTCACTTCCCTGCAACACCAAGCCGAGTCCTTTCCTTCCCAACACTGCTACACTGTATCCTCCACAAGAAGTTACCTGGAGTGGCCCTTGCATACTCTCCTTGATCAGTCAAATTGAGATAAAGGAGCAACACCTTTGAATCATCCAGAACAGTACTTAAATTTAGATCTATCACATAAACAAGAGCATCAAAATGGTGTTCAGTGCTACAGACAGTTCCTTCCAGCAACAGTGCCTGCCGTTCATGGAAACATACACCCAACACCCCGGACTCAGGATATAGGGGATAACTTCAAAGGAGTTACTAATTAACTATACTGGAGCTATAACTATATTCTAAAGCAAGATATTAAATGCTAAATTCTTTGTTTCTCAGTTTCCTTCTGCATTTACTCTGAGAGGTCAACTATGAAGCAGGCTGGTCCTGTGTTAGTTCTGAGAGAAGAAAAATGTTTTATACTGAATTGAAACAGAATTTGACTGAAACGGTATTAATTACATTATTTGGGGAGATTTAAAAATAATTCTAAGTATTCTATAGAATGCATTTTAAGTACAACGAACATCAAGTCTTAAAAAATGGCACTGAAATGCTGTTTTAGGATCTGACATAAAAACCTGAGAAGGATTTCTGGACCATTTCCCTAGCATATTTTTGCCACACACACACAAAAGAAGATAGCATTTCCAGTACTACAGTACATATTAACCTATATTTGCATCCCTCTTTACTCACCTGTCTCCTCTAATTGGCTGCACATCCTTTGAAGATAAAAGAGTCATCTCTGTATCTATAGAGTAAGACAGTCGCAGTCCTGTTAATGAATAATGAATGAGAACTCAAGAACTCCCAGAGTCAAGGTAAAGAGTACTTAATCATGTAATTAGTACTTCAAAAGCATGGGACACTGTCATGTAACTAGCAGGGTGTGACAAGAGTATTTTACTCATATCTCAGTTATTCACCCTCTGCTTCCGTGTGTGAAATTTACTATTTTTGGCTTACAGTTTCCTTTTTTCCTCTCTTCTGTTTGTCATTCCGCCTCCTTACAGCTGTTCCGATTATGGAAATAAATTATGTTTAAATGTTTATTGAATAAAGTTGAGTTTTCCAGGATTAAATATTAATTATGTGTTTATATCAACTTTTTCTCAGAACAAAAATCTTCTGGATTGCTTTGACCTCTGAGGGCTTTATTAAATGGACAATGCTAAAAGATATTTATTGTGAAATATGGTAATTTTTTTTAAGGTACACAATTTATAAATAAGATTTTACCACTGTCTTCTGTTCTCTCCGTTTTACATCTTAAGGACATAGAAAAACTTGTGTGAGGCAGCAACTGGCTTTACTATTGACTTTTCAAGTCTACTTATCTTTTTTATTAAACATAAGATAAAATCTGCTGGAAATTCAATAATTCAACAACTTAATAGTCACTTTTGATACCTATGCTTAAACATTAAAAAGTGCTTTATATAAGGTACCTTAAGTAAGTGAAACTGAAGATTATCTAAAATAGAAATACCATTTTGAACTAGAGGTTACTTGTGGCTATATGTAAATACAAAAATGGTTTCTACCTATTAAAAAATTTAGTTCTATATAAATGCATATACAAATTTTTATGCAATAAGAACTATTATACTGTTAGATTTATACAGAGCTGTGCTTATACAGACCACTTCCTAGCGTCAAGAATTAGAAGTATGTGTTTTAGAGCTACCTTTCAGATGTCTTCTCAAGTTTACTTCATCTATGGTAATACAACTTTTCCTTTGTCTTTCTAATGAAATGTAAGAACTGCTGAAGCATGAGCCTAAAACTGCCTTGAGCACGAATGGCTGCAGCAAGGCCAATAGGTGGCGCATACATTAGTCTAATGGTCTTTGAAAACATGGAGGTGATCGAATGAGCAAAATGACTTCACACTTAACGACCAGTGTCTGCAAAAGAGATTACTGACGGTTCCTTCATTCATTCAGTAAATGCTTGCTAAACAGCTGATACACGGTAGGCTAGGTGACCGGTGCTAGGAAACCAGCAGAGCGCAGACCACAGACTCCTGTACTCCCCCAGTTTACTGTCTAGTTGAAATGCAGACTTTTATGAAGAAATTATAAGTGAGTGTAGGAAATGACAATGTCCATGTGGCTGTGGACACATAACCTAGTCTGAGAGGTTACCAATTAAAAAAACATGTATGACACTTAATTTTCCTATCACCAGTTATTGAAATGATAATACTTTTAGATTTAACGTTGGCTAAACACTTCCAACATGTTCACACACACATCCCAACGCTGAATGGCCTAGGACTTGGGAACCCATGTAAGATCAGCTCTAAGCATAAAGGAGACAGAATCTTACCCTCAGTGCTATTGTTCTTAAAACTTAGCTTTCCTCCTTTCTTACTATTAAAGTAGCAAGACTCTGAAAGCAAAAATTTGGGTGTGGGCCTAGGGCAGAAGAGTCAAAGAGGCCTCTTTGCTTTCTTTTCATCTAGGCTTTCGGCCAACAGCACAAAAGGAGTCCTTGTGGAACTCCAGGACTCAGCCTTGCCTGCTGGGCCTCTGGGTTAGTGCCAGAGATATAGTGTAAAGAGTGTGTGTGTGCACTTAGGCTTTTCCGCTGGTCCCCAAGGAATCTGAAGATGGCTGATTTATTTTGCAGGCATTTAGGGGTCCCCCAAAAGCCTCTTCATATCAAAGGTCTACCTAATAGAAAATAAAACAGTATGTTCCTTTCTTTAGAAAATGTACTCAAATATTTGAAATATTTTTGTTTCTCCTTAGGTGTAGAACTCCATTCCCCTTTTACACTCTTCATACCACTTTGATTGTCCTGGTAAGATCATAGGGTATTGATTAAGCTGCTTTTATCTAAGGTCACAGGTTTCCAAGGGTATCCAGGTCACCACAAGCCTCTCTCCTGTCTCTTGCTTCCAATCAGCTTGCTGGGAGGATAGGGCAAGATGGTGTGGGCGACAAAGAGGAGCTGTCTTCTCCCTTTTCTCTCTCACCCCAAATTTGGAGCACAAGTTCACTTAAGCAATGCACAGGAGAGCTAGCAGGGTATTTTTGTTTTTCTCTCCATTTCCATTGGTGCTGACTGGAGTCTCAGGACTGCTTTTGGAACATTAACAGAGAGAGAAAAATCCTGGCCTTAGCCTGAGGCTTTTTAGGCCTAACAAGCTCAAGAAAAGAAGCCTTTCATGTGTTCAGCCCAGTTTACTGGAGCTTTGTACTGTGGCTTGAAGCCAAATTCCCAAGTAATAAAATGTTTTACTGTTGTGGCTTGGTTATTTTTGCCCTTGGATTTTGCTTTATGAGACTATACCTTTCAAAGGTATCAGGAAGGAGATAATTAGCTGTGGCAAGTTCAGGGATATCCTTGGTACTCTTTAGCAAAACATGATTAAATGGTCTCCCAATCTCACTCAAATTTCTAAACCATGTGAGCATGAAAATTTATTTAAAAGTGAAAACGCTGCTTTTGTTTGGAAAATACATTTTACTGATATTGGTGTCAGTAATGGCCCTAACAGCTATACCATATACAGAGAACAAGATATTTACAAACCAGGCCATGTAGTTCAACAAAATCTTGACAGTGAACCCAAGACTGCCCACATGGAACTAATGATACCCATGCTACTGCCCACAACTGAGCTACTCCATCTGCCTTGCTAGGTCTGGAAATGAAGAACTAGTATATATTGAGAGATACCAATGATTTGGATACTGATAATGAACATATCTACCATGAGTCACACTGCAGCCATGTGGTTAAAGTTGTACAATGAATAGAACTACTAATTGTTGTAGAATACCGCGCAGGAGCTTCCAAAAGCCAAATGCTAAGTATTTCCCTTGCACACATGTTCAGAAACTGGTATTATCTGTTTCTAGCAGGAGCATCCTGTCAGTTCTGACTTTGTTTACAGAATCTCAAAGGTCTCCACCTGTAAGTAAGGTTTCATTTGCTGCCTCCAGCAACCTGTGAAGTGAGTGGAAAGCCATGGCTCCTCCCTTAGGTAAGTTACTAGGCTCACCTGGCTGCTTTTCTCATTCATCAGGAGGTTTCCATGTATAATCGGCAAAAAGAAAAGGAAGCAAAATTCTAGTTTTATAGTGAACACCACAAAAACTAAAGCTTGAATAATGTGGATATTGAGGTTATATTCTCAATGAGGATGATAGAAGACATTTTATTTTAAAGAGGCATGGATTTCAGACAGCTGATAAACAGTGCTCTATTCCGTTTTCCTAGATGATCCTATCCATTGCATGGCTTTACTAACCATTAAAATACTCATGCTTTCTAAATTTTGCATCTCTAGGCTGGATTTCTCTTCCATCTTCTAACTGGTATATTCATTCACTTGCTGAACAACTCTTCGGGAAAAAAAAATGTTAGCTCGATTCATATTTTCTTAAGGCATGCACCAGACTGGTTTTTAGGCTGAGGCTTACTGGCGGTATCTACAGATAAAGTAGGCTAAAGAAGGAAATTTACACAGTCAGCAAAAGCAGATGGCCTCCATCAAATCTAATGTGCTAAAATTGCTTTAGTTTATTCTTTATAACACATTTTCTCTATTTGTGACAAGTAACATGGATTGTTTTTAATTCCAAATTATTTTTATCTTTAACATTCCCCAAAAGTCACTTAAACAAGCTAGGCTAGAAACAGAGACTTCGAATAAACACAATTTACTAGTGGGCTCATTCATGACAGACAGTAGCTGTCCCACAGATGAAATATCCCTAAAGACATTACCAAAACATGATATGAGGTTCTACCTGGTGTTATGCTAACATACAAATGCTCAAATAAAAAATGCAAAGCACGTTTACAAATTAACTGGTAGTTTACAACAGAAATAATGATCAGCCCCAGCCCCCATTTTTAAGCAACTGGAGTTTCAAAAAATTGATCGGAAAAGCTGAACATGGGAACAGGAACTCCTGATCGAAATAACCAAGACAAGAAATACTGACCTTTCTATGAGGCCTTAACAATCATTAAAAAACCTTATTCCAGCCAGAACTGTGTGAATGCATGACTCTTGCTGACTTCAGTAGATAACATCTTTGTGTAAACTCAGCTAAAATATTTATGCTCAGAGAGGTATGTTTTTCCAAGATTGTTGCTGAAAATATTTGTAGGATTAAGATTTTCTTTAATATCTGTCTATGCTTACACTTATTTCTCATTTGATTTAACTATATAGCCTATAATAGCAAACATTATTTTATCAGGAGGTATACGTTTTTATTGGTCTGAGAATAAGAGTGTTTTTATACATGAATGTTTTAAATATTAAGAACAGGGCAACTTTATTCTTTGTCCCATGTGATTTTTTTCCTTTTTTGTATTTCAGGCTGAGACTGAACACCTGGAAAGCCATATTACTGCTTTTATATTTCTCCACTTACATATTTTATTTGAAAACATCCATATGAAAGCCTGGCTGAAAAAAATATGAAAAAAGATTCCCTCCGAGAAGCAAAATGGCTTTCAACTCAAGAAAAATCTTATTCAGAGTGGAATAAAAAGCTACAAATCTGATTTTTCTTGTTTTCAATTACCCCAATAGTATCATCCATTTGATTTTTTTTTTCCCACTGAGACTGTAGTTTCTCAGTATCATAAATAACTATTTCTTACTTAAAAGAAATTTGGATTGAGTGAGATGTTTAGAAGTTGGTTTCCTTTTACCTGCATGCCTGTGGATCAGTAAGAAGAAGAGCTCTTTGGCACTACTTCTGCCTTGTAGGCACATCCAGGTAGGGATTCCTCAGATGGGGTACACTCCAGCTTGCATCTGGCCTGGCCTAGGTGTCCTCACTTGTGCTGAGCACTTGCACTGCAATCTCCTCCCACCTGTTTGCATGTGTCGACTAAAGCTGATAGCCTTCAACTGCAAATAAACATCAAAATCAATTAAATTTTTATTACAGAAAACTGGAAAGAAAAGTGTCTTGCCAATGGGTTTTAGCCATGAGCAAGTTCACTATGGATTCAATGTGACCAAAGAAATGACAGTAGAATGTTCTTGGGGTGAAAGAGTTTATACCCAACTTTATTCCCATGGTGGCAGGACCATCACTAGAATCCCATCAACTCAGAGCGAGTCTGCATGCAGCGAGACAGTCTCTGCCTGTGGGCCCCTCTGCCCGCACAGCTGTCCTCTGAGCCTCTGTCATCGGCATTGCCACCACTTCAACCTCTGCTCTGCTCCCCTGCAGCCTTGCAGCAGTACCACCATGTTGCCCAGAGCACTGGGCGAAACTCTTTATATAGAGTCAATAGCAATGTATTGTCCACACATGTGTAGTGAGTTAGCCAACCAGGGCTAGGTGAGAATCCTGGTCACAGGAACCTTCATTTTATCCACAGAGAGAAAGCACTAAGGAGATTTTTAAAAATCACTCATCTAAAAATCCTAACATCCAAAGAGAGCATTTTGGTGTATTTCTTTCCAGTATTTTTATGCATACTTATTTCCAGTATATATTTCTTACACACTAAGCCCTCATTTTGTGTGTCAAGATCAGATTGCCTAGTATAAAAGGGAGTATTATACAAGTTCATCATTGAGTGAACACTTAGAAGTGAGCCAAAACAAAAATTAATATGAAACAGACTGTGGATAAAGTGAAGGTTCCTGTGGCCAGGATTCTCACCTGGCCCTGGTTGGCTAGCTCACTACACACGTGTGGGCAATACGTTGCTATTGATTCTATATAAAGGAGCCCTGCCCAGTGCTCTAGGCAACACGGTGGCATGGCTGCAAGGCTGAAGGAGGGCAGAGGCTGGAGTGATGGCAGTGCCAAGGACAGAGGCCCAGAGGATGGCTGTGCAGACAGAGGGACCCAGAGGTAGAGACTGGCTTGCTGCATGCAGGCTCGCTCTGAGTGGATGGGATTTTAGTGATTGATCTGCCACTGTGGAAATAAAGTTGGGTATAACCCTTTCACCCCAAGAATGTTCTACCATCATTTCTTTGATCACATTGAATCCACAGTGAACTTGCCAGGAGCTGAAACCCACTGGCAAGACACCCAGTTAATCTAGGATGATCTCATCTCAAAATCCTTTACTTAATTATTTTTTCAAAGATCCTTTTTTTTCCCCAAATAACCTCAAGTTCACAGATTATGGGTAGACATATCTTTTGGGGGCCTCTCTTTAACACACTACAATACCTAATTGTACAGATTCCTTCCTATTGAATATTTAACAGATAGGTATAAACATTTACAAAGGTAGTATAAGTGTCAAATTGACATTAAAGAGACCCAAAAAGCACTGTGGCCTAAGTAAGATAGACATTTATTTCTCTCTCACCTCACAGTCTGGCAAGTAGGTAGGCTCTGCTCAATTAGTTTATTAAGTATCCCTGGTGCCAATGTTCTCTTCCATGGCAGGATCTTAGCCCACAAATGGGAAAGAAAGCAGACAGCAAGTCATTTCCGTTTAAGCAAACAAGGCTGGAGTGGCACACATCACTTCCTCTCTACCATTCCACTGGTGCAGTCTTAGGCACATGGCCACCCCTAGCTTCAAGTCAGACTGGACAGTTTTTTTTCGCTGGGTGGCCATACACCCAGCTTTAAATTCACTACCATGGAAGGTGGAGGGATGGAGTGGGCAGTAATTAATAGCATATGACAAATCTTACAAACTTTAACTCTCTTAAGTATGTATTTTTAAATTAAATCATTGGTGGAATCAACAAAGTTATATAGGTAATTAAAGCATTCATCATCATTCACATAATAAAGGAAAATATTAACTTCCCTGATTTTTAGAAACTCCTAGCTCTGTTTGGCATTATCTCAAATGAAGAAATTATTTTTCTACAGTTCAAAAGTCATTGTTAGAGACTGTTACAGTTAGTCACTGTTATTTTAAGTATTTTTAAAATTCCATTATAAAACATATATTTTGAGCAATTCATCCTCTGGTTTCCATGAAGTAGAGTTTATCTTGATTTCTTGCCCTCCACCCTTTTCCTCCTCTACATGGAGGTGGAATGAATCACCTGGGAAATGGGTGACAGCCAGTGGCTTAGGTTAATGTATCTGCCCTACAGATTCACACTTTTCCTCTCGTGGGCTGTTCAAAGGACTAGACTGGCAGCAGGCTGTTACTACTTGGCTCTCACTCTAAGACACATTCTCCATTAACTCTATTCATAATAAAGTTTTGATTTTCATTTTCCTGACTTGTGTGTCTCTCTCCATTCGATCTGAATTAAGGTGGTGAGAGGTGTTTTAGTAATCCCCTCTGACTCCAATAGTGACTGATGTGTTATGAAGCTTTTGTTTCCCACATGATTTGTGAGCACAAAATAGTGAATCAGAAAATTTCCTGAAAGGCTATAAAGACTATGTTTGATGTGTTAAAGGGTAACATTTTTGTCCAATGAAGGGATTTGTTCAGTTTAGACCCAATCTAAAAGTTACTCTTCTAATCAAAAGAAGCAAAATATAACACCTACCTTACCCCACCCTGCTCCATGCTTTCCTCCAACCCCTCCCCTGTCCTGACACTACCCAGGGGCAGGACCTAGAGGCTGTATGTAGTTCAATGCAAGAGACAGGGAGTGTTAATGGACTGCAAAAACAAAGAGAAGCTAGTGGGTTATAAAAATTTAGCAATGAGCACTGAAGAAAGCAACGTCCTTAGAAATGCCATTGGCAGAGATTATATTGGTGGAAAAATTCAAAAGCTGCAAAAAGATGAAAAGGGGTTTGTACAAGGAGCTGACCATTTTAACAGCCCTGAAAGAGGAAAGGACAGCACGAAATACAAGAGGGTCAACAAAAGCTCGACACCGTACTAACACGCAGAGAGAGAACAGAACAGAGATTGCTCCTTAGGCATGCGTGGCTAAGGACTCAGTTGGGAGGAGGAGAAACTGCAAGTTAAAGTAAAAACTCCACTGTGTGTTATTATAGGTTTAATATAATTAGGATCAAGTTACTCATACATACTTCCCTCTCCATTTTGTGGTTTCAGCCAGCCTCATTTTATCCTTTACATTGCATGTACAAAGTCCTATGTATTGGAGGCAATCCTAAAGATATTCAAGAATATATTGAGACTGGAAGGACCACAGCTGTTACCTGAAGCCAGAGTTCTGATGCTCAGAGTGGGCACAGTAGGCAAACAGCCCTCTTACAGGGTGCCTCCTTAGGAAGGCTTGATCCTACCTGAGTGGGCTGCACGTCACTACTGAGGTGCGACTGCTGAACAACCATGGCCAAACCATCTCTTCCTTTAGCTGTAAAGGCATAACCCACGATACTGACAAGAAAGTGATCTGAAACTATATTATAGATTTGTTGGACCCCATTTTAAAGATTTTGGTAGTAGAAGATTCTCTAAATACATAAACATAAATATCATAGTATTTCATTTACATTATAGAGCATACTTTTAACAATCTAAGATTCCTTCCCTTTTCCCTCATTCCCCACATTCAATCATTCCAGGTAATCTAGATTATGCCTCTAGGTATTCTCAAGTCTATTTCATCTTTTCACAGATGGGTCGAGGTCCATTTTCTTTGTCTCTTGGACATGTAAAATAATCTGTAAAGTTGTTTCTTTTTCTGATTCTCCACATAGCTCCCCGTAAACTTCCTAAATACAAATCTGATTTTTTTATCTCCCAAACTATAAAAATTCCAGATATTCCCAACTGACTTTAAGATAAAATCCAAACTCTAGAGAAGTGGTTCTGAAGGGGTGGTCCCAAGACTAGCTGCTTCAACATCAATAAGGAATTTGTAAAAAATGCAAATTCTTGCCTCCCCTACCCCAAATCTACAGAAAAAGAATCTTGGGATGGGGCCCAGTGATCTGTGTTTTTTAAATCCCTCTAGGGGAATCCTGTGCCTGCTTATGTTTGAAAACCACTGCTGGGGCATGGTACAATGGTTATGCTATTTTTCTGGCTTCTCCCCAGCTCACAGGGGTAACCCTATGCATCCACCCTCAGACCTTCTCACCACGTCCCAAGCATACTGTGCCCTTTGACACTTCTGTGCTCTGGCACTGCCTGTCTCTGAAATGCCATTCTGTTCCTCTGCTGTCTGGTCAACTGTGACAGGGCACCTTAAATCCTTTTGCAATGAGCAGGATATAAATCAGTGTATATATATCTTTCAATATCCTGCTCAAATATCACCTTTGCTGAAAAGTTTTTCTGACTCTCAGATTTAGTCATCCTTTCCTCTGTGCTGTAATTGTACATAACGCTCCAGGCTACCGTTGTTTATGCCTCTCACACTGGAAGATGGATACTTCTGGGCAGACTTACCCTCAATATGTCCTTTCAAATGCTAGGATCATAGTAGATGTTGCCGACAGGTAATTACTGAGGAAGATCTCATCTGGTGGTTTAGCAGGCAAGTCTGTCTACTCCTCCTGTGCTTTCTTTTTTTTTTTTTTTACTCCTTTCTTGCAACTGAATTTGAATCCTCCTTTTCCTGGAGATGTCCCCCTCTTCTTCTCCAAATGGGAATACAGACCTGAGAGGGAATGACATGAAGCAATGAGGTAAAAAAAACATAGGCCACATGGGTCACTTTATTACTGAAGATTAGCAGAGTATGCCTTTCCTTTGCTCCTTAACTCATATCTAATAAATGAAACAATCATGATAGAAATCCAAATTCAAACTAAAAAAATATTCTCTAATCATATGTTTTCTTTCAGTCTTGATTCATGAGAAGAGCTGAAAAGCCATAAGTACTTAATGAATGTTTGAAACATATAATTCTGTGCATTTATGCCTAAAAACTGATAGATTTGTTCTGCAAAATAATCAATATCAACCTCTCATCATATTTTCTATATTGGGAAACGAGGCACACTGGTAGAAGAATATTCTTAATTTTCCTTTTACTTCATTTCTAAACAAAAATTTAAAGGGATATTTTATACAGATATTCCTTGACTTAGGATGGGGTTACATCCTAACTTACCCATCATAAGTTGAAAATACTGTGAGCTGAAAATGCATTTAATATACCTAACCTATTGAACAGCATAGCTCAGCCTGGCCTAACTTAAAACATGCTCACAACACTTACATTTGCCTACAGCTGGGTAAAATAATCTAACACAAAGCTTATTTTATAATAAAGTGTTGAATAGCTCTTATAATTTATTGACTACCGTACTGAGTAAAAATGTATTGCTTGTTCAAAAAGGCAACCTACAATAGGAGAGCATCTGTTTGTAAATGACTTATCCAATAAGGGTTTAACATCCAAAATATACAAAGAACTCACATGCCTCAACACCCTAAAAACAAATATCCCAATTAAAAATGGGTGGAGAATCTGAACCCTCGCCAAAGAAGATATTCAAATGGCCAAAGGCACATGTAAAGATGCTCCACATTCCTAATCATCAGGGAAATGCAAATTGAAACCACAATGAGATATCACCTCACACCAGTTAGGATGGCCGACATCCAAAAGACAAGGAACAACAAATGCTGGCAAGGATGCAGAGAAAGGGGAACCCTCCTACACTATTGATGGGGATGTAAACTAGTTCAGCCATTGTGGAATGCAATATGGAGGTTCCTCAAAAAACTAAAAATAGAAATACTATTTGACCCAGTAATTTCACTCCTAGGAATTTGCCCAAAGAAAACAAGATGCCTGATTCAAAAAAGACATATGCTCCCCTATGTTTATCACAGCACTATTTACAATAGCCAAGATATGGAAGCAAAATAAGTGTCTATCAAAAGATGAATGGATAAAGAAGATTTGGTACATATACACAATAGAATATTATCAGTCATAAAAAGAAAATAAATCCTACCGTTTGCAACAACATGGATGGTGCTAGAGGGTATTATGCTCAGTGAAATAAGCCCAGTGGAGAAAGACAAGTACCAAATGATTTCACTCATTTGTGGAATATAACAACAAAGCAAAACTGAAGAAACAAAACAACAGCAGATTCACAGACTGAAGAAGGGACTAGCAGTTGCCAAAGGGATGGGGTTGGAGAGGGTGGGTGGATAGGGAGGAAGAAGGGGATTAAGAGGTATTATAATTAGCAATCACAATATAGGTAGGGCACAGGGAAGGCAGTAGAACACGGAGAAGACAAGTAATGACTCTATAGCATCTTACTACACTGATAGACAGTGACTGCAATGAGGGGAGTGAGGACTTGATAATATTAGTGAATCTTGAAACCAAAATGTTGCTCATGTGAAACCTTCATAAGACTGTAAATCAATGACACTTTAATTAAGAAAAAATGTATCAGCTATTTACATTCTTGGTTGTGTGGCTGGCTGGGAACTGCAGCTCACTGAGGCTGCCTGTCCAGCGTCACAAGTTGAAAAATCATTAAGTTGAACCATCGGTAAGCTGGGGACCATCTGTACTTGTTTTTCTCCCTAATATCCTTTATGGTGTTAATTAAAGTAGACTGAGCAGCACTTTGTGTGTCCATCAACTTGTCTGGTAACAAGAGTTAAAATAACTGCAAGGATTGGCATTCTCATCTACTATAGTGAATGAACAACAGCTCTGAATTGAATCCCAAGATACTGTTATCCATAAAACTGAAAATACCTGAAATTGGAAATCCCGAGTCTTCTGACACTTCTGAACTGGAAGTTATTTATCTCTGTAGAATTAGCCTGTAATTTTCCATTTTCTTACTGAGTGATAATTAGCTAAACAATCTTTTAGCTGTTATGAGTAGGTGTTTCGCCTTTCCCCACTAATCCTCACCTGCCACCTCAGTCAATATCCACTTCTCCGTCAAATATGTAGGGAAGAGCAGAATCAGAGAGGGAGGCTGGAGATACTCCTCAGGAAGATGTGTGCTGGTAAAGATGGATAAGCTGTAAGCATGATGATGGCAGATCAAGGCTGGATAAGACTACAGCATTTCCCACCACAGTGTTATGCTGGACAGAGGGAGTTACAGGAACCACTGGTGGTATTCACAATTAGCTCAGGGAAGTAATTACTTAGAAGCCTTTTGTTTTAAATGCCTAGTTAAATATGACCCAGGAACAGAACTGAAAGCCCTCTTTGGCAACGGCCACCGCATCAGTAATCATTCCTCTTGCCCCTGCCATCCCAGAGCTCTTGGGCACCAATCTTAGGCACCTGTCGCACAAACTTTGTGATGGAGTTATTCTTCTCTTCTTCACAATTAGACTCCTTCCTGAAGGTGGGAAATGCTTTAATTCATCTCCATATTCTCAAGAGAGTCTAGCAAAGTGTACATCTTCAATATGCTTTTGTTGAACAAACAAATACACATCACTGAGAAAGAATTAGTTGAAAACGGTGAAATAGCAACTACTTACAGGGTCCGATATGCTCACTTAAATTACGTCTCTTAAGCAAATCTGAAAAGAGAAGGCACTAGTCTTAGGTAGAGCACCCCAAAAGGACATTCAAAGTATGTACCTTGCTAGCTGGGTGCCTGCTGAAGAAAAGCACTCTTCCTCGGGGGCTCCCATTTGCTGCAGTCCTTACACTTTCATTTCTTTGGGCTCCACGAGTAGTCATTGACGGATGCCTGGCCTATTTAATTGGGACAGAGTTTCCTGAAGAATTCAAGGCTGCTGGAACCCTATTATAAAAAAAGTCAGATTGTAATTTTGATCCTAAAACCTGCCAAAAATACAAATGGAAGGCAGCAAAAGCCAAAGACACTGCAGGTGGCCAAACCCAGGAGAGACTCCTCATTGTGCAGGAGAAACAATTTCTATGAATAACAATAAATCACAGCAAACTAATTTTTAACTGTTAGCTTTAATATCCACATATCAAAATGTATTTATCATAGTGGATGGGCTTAACTGTTAACTGAAGGTAATATTGTGCAGTACAAGGAAATCCAGAATTATAGAATAGGCAATTCAGAGTTTGCAGAGTAATTTGCCATTAATTTTTTTTTTTAAATAGCATTTTACCATTTGCCTTTAAATTCAATTAATTAATAATGTTTGACTGGATTTCCTCTTCTACCCTATTCCCAATCCTCACAGATGTAACAAAGCAAGGCATCCAAACGACAAGGACTGTGGAAAGTCTGTAACAAGGAGGCTGGAAAACTGTACCCACTGTGTGACTGACACCTGGAGAGCTGAGAAGATAAATCAGTTCTTATTTATGATCAGGGAAATTCATGGAGATCATGCCCCAAGCTATCAAAAGGGAAAGATAAACTACCTGCATCTCCCCAAATACATTCAGATCAATCCTCAAATGCCGGACTCCACTACAATTAAAAATAAGCACTGGGAAATTTTCATTCATTTCTACATTTTCCCTTTGAACCTCAGTGGAAGCTTGTCTTCTCTGCAGCTACTCCTTTCCCCTGGTGTTAATCCCCTCTCCTACTTCAGAAACTGGCTTCACCACTAATTTTCTCCCTTTTGGTCCTTAGCCTTTTCTTCTCCTTAGGCTTCTTTATCCCAACTCAATAACACATCAGAACATCTCACTCACCACGTGCCCGCCTTCTTCACCCTGTCTTACTTCTAGCTATCACTCCTTCCCATCTTTTCTGTTCAGGATCATCAAGAGCTATTTAATCTCACTCTTCTACACCCACCTTCCATTCACTCTCAAACCTCTGCAGTGTGTGTTTCCCTAAGGCCCCAGAGGCTACTCTTAAAATAGATACCTTTTGGGACACTCACTGGTCCTTTTCTCACTTTGAACCCTTTGATACATTGGGCTCTGTTGAGCCTTCCTTGCTTCTTAACGTTCTCTCTTCCTTGGACTTCTAGTATAACAGTTTCTCCTGATCCCCTCGTAATCCCTGAATTTACTCTGAATTTGAAACCTGGTTCCATCACTTTCTCTCTGTTGCCTTGGGTAAGTTACATGAACTCAATGTTAGTTGTACTGAACTCATCAATCTCTGACCTATTCAGCTGTGTCAGCCAGGGTGCCAGCAGGCAACACAAGAGAGTCTAAACAAGGGAGTATTACAAGGGAAGGCGAAGCATCAGGAAACCATTCCCAGGGGTGAGAAAGAGCTGGAAACTTGGGAAAGGGCCCACACAACAGGAATTTTGGTCATGGAAGAATTCAAGCACTGCCAAAAACACAGCAAAGCTGGTCTGGGAAGGGCTAAATACCCTGACCACCTCTCCCTCCTATTATCTTCCAGTCTTCTTCTGGTCAAACCTAACTGGAAACCCAGAGCACAATGCAGGCTGAGTGATGCAAACTAGAGTTCAATTTCCTGAGATGCACGCCAAGGCAGGGAAGAGTAGAGAACAAATCCAGATGGAAAACTAGCAGAGAACAGTTAGCACATGAGCACACTACCTACCATCTCCTTCATTCACCAGAAAACATTTAGCATGACAGGAACTAATCTGGGAATACAAGGGATCACAAGATGGAAAAGATGCCATCTTCATGGTACTTTTATTCTCCTTGTGGAAGACACTAGTAAAGCAGTAACTATACAAGACAATTTCAGATGATGGTAGGTACAATGAAGAAAAGGAGTACCATGAGCCTAACACAGAGAGGGCAGTCCTTTAGATGATGGTAATCAAGGCAGTCCTCTCTGAGATGATAGTAGAGGTCACAAGGAATACTGAGAGGAAAGGAACAATAAGAAAGCTTTCTAACACCTAGAGGAAGAGTATTCAAATAGCAGTGGTCAACAAGGGCAGAGTGTAAACAAACTGAGTTGACACCAGTTGGGCTGATCTAAGGGAGAGACAGGAGGCCAGTGTGACTGGAGGAAGGGTGGCAGAAGATGAAGTAGGAATGGCAGGCAGAGGCTAGATCATAAAGGGCTTTGTAGGCTGCACAGGAAGTTCAGTGTATTTGCTAATGCAATATAAAGGTATTAGGCTGGGGTTGGGTTTAGACATTTGCAAGTTTAGACATTTCTAATTTCTGTTGGTAAAATATCACTTTCACAATTTTATGAAAAATAAATTACAATGGGACAAGAATGGAAATATCCCATTAGAGTTTGCATTGCTTTGACCAGAGCTCCCATGTTCAAGAGAGCTGGATGGTGTTTTGCATAGAGGCACAAAATGGCCCAACCACAGGCTGGATGGCAGCCCATGATGTGGCTTAGAGCTAAGGGCTCTTGCAACTGGATTGTGCTCCTCTGAAATGTGAAGAACAGGATTCATTAGAAGTGGGTACTGTGAGAACACATTAAAGAGGCAGAGAAGAAGAGATATACAATTAGAAAGACATAAGAAATAAGAAAATAGCTTCTCTTTAGAGGTACCTTGTTTCCTAATAACTGCTCATATATCCATATAAATACTTCTGCTTCCACCCCTTTAATTAATTAAGGGGGTCTTTCTTGCATGCAAAATAGTCTAATGAGCACAATGGTGTCCCCAAGGTTTCATTCTTCTTCTCATTCACATCAGTCAGAAGTGACAAAGATCTAGTCTAGTAACAAATAAAACCCTCAAATCTCAACTGCTGGAAACACCTAAGGTTTGGAGTGACACGATAAATTAAATGCAATAAAACAGAAGGGCCTCCAACCAAGAATATTACACCCAGCAAGATTATCATTAAATTTGAAGTAGGGATAAAACAATTCCCAGATAAGCAAAAGTTGAGGGAATTTATCTCCCACAAACTGTCTCTATAGTGTATTTTAAAGAGACTGCTTCAGACAGAAATTCTTCTAAGGCTAAATAGCGGTCATCAGAGAAAAATAAAACCACAGAAAAGGAAGTAGACCAATTAATTACTAAGCAAATGCAAAATTACATCAATTACTCATAAAGTCAGTCAAGGGATACACAAAGAGTACAGAATATGACAACTAACATATAAAAAGTAGAGGAGGAGGAAGAAAAAGAAGGGAGAAAAGAAAAAGAACCTTTAGATTATGTTTTAAATATCATAAGAGAGTTAAGTTAGATGGTTAGGTAGTAAGGAAGCCGCCCTTGAGTTTGGTAACCACAAATCCAAAGCCTACAGTGGCAATAACTACATATCTATCAATACTTACCCTGAATGTAAATGGACTGAACGCATCAGTCAAAAGACACAGAGTCATTGAATGGATAAAAAAACAAGACGCATCTATATGCTGCCCACAAGAGACTCACTTCAAACCCAAAGACATACACAGACTAAAAGTAAAGGGATTGGAAAATATATTTCATGCAAATAATAGGGATAAAAAAGCAAGCGTAGCAGTACTCATATTAGAAAAAATAGGTTTTAAAACAAAGAAAGTAACCAGGGACAAAGAAGGACATTACATAATGGTAAAGGGGTCAGTTCAACAAGAGGATACAACCATTATAAATATCTCTATACCCAATATAGGAGTATCTAAATATGTGCAACAAACACTAATAGAATTAAAGGGGGAAATAGAATGTAATGCATTCATTTTAGGAGACTTCAACACACCACTCACTCCAAAAGACAGATCAATCAGACAGAAAATAAGCAAGGAGACAGAGGCACTGAACAACACACTAGAACAGATGGACCTAACAGACATCATAGAACACTCCACCCAAACACAGCATGATAAACATTCTTTTCAAGTGCACATGGAATGTTTTCCAGAATAGGTCACATAGTAGGCCACAAAATGAGCCTCAGTAAATTTAAAAAGACTGAAATTGTGCCAATCAACTTCTCAGACCACAAAGGTATGAAACTAGAAATAAATTACACAAAGAAAACAAAAAAGCCCACAAACACATGGAAGCTTAACAACATGCTCCTAAATAATCAATGCATCAAGACCAAATAAAAAGAGAAATCAAGCAATACATGAAACAAATGGAACAAGCAAAAAATGAAAACAACTCAACATCCCAAAACCTGTGGGATGCAGTGAAGGCAGTTCTAAGTAGAAAGAATATTGAAATATAGGCTTACCTCAAGAAAGAAGAACAATCCCAAATGAATGGTCTCAACTCACAATTAATGAAACTAGAAAAAGAAGAACAAATGAGGCCCAAACTTAGTAGAAGGACGGACATAATAACGTAAGAGCAAAAATAAATAAAATGGAGAAGAATAAAACAATAGAAAGAATCCATGAAACTAGGAGCTGGTTCTGGGAGAAAATAAACAAAAGATAAACCCCTACCAGACTTATCAAGAAAAAAACATAGTGTACACACATAAACAGCATCAGAAATAAGAAAGGAAAAATCACTACAGACACCACAGAAATACAAAGAATTATTAGAGAACACTATGAAAAATTATCTGCCAATAAATTGGATAACCTAGAAGAAATGGAGAACTTTCCAGAAAAATACAACCTTTTAAGAAAGACCCAGGAAGAAACACAAAATCAGAACAGACCAATTACCAGCAATGATATTGAACTGGTAATCAAAAAACTACCTAAGAACAAAATTCCCATACAAGACAGCTTCACCGCTGAATTTCATCAAATATTTAGAGAAGACATAATACCCATCCTCCTTAAAGTTTTCTGAAAAGTAGAAGAGGAGGGAATACTCCAAACTCATTCCATGAGGCCAGCATCACCCTAATACCAAAACCAGGCAAAGACACTGCAAAAGAAGAAAATTACAGATAAATCCCTGATAAAAATAGATGTAAAAATCCTCAACAAAATATTAG